GTCTGCTGGCTCGCTTGATGAAGCTGTCCCCGGAGAATAGGTTGCAATACGCGCGGCGACCGTGTGGTGGACCTGCCAAGGATTCCAATTTCGCCTCTGGAAGCGGTTATCATTTCTTGCCTTCCACAGATACCATAGAGTGATGAGGATTTTGTTGGAAACAGGGTTCGGGGTAGAGTTGGAAATGATAGTTTGCAAGATGAGTTGGACCCCATCTTCTCCTTGGGGCAGATGATCAGTTCGAAGGGGAGGGTCTGAAGAAAACCATACCGCACGGGGGAGATTACAGTGGAAGAAGAGGTGGGCGTCGTTTTCCATAGCTCCACAATCTGCACAATGGTTATCTATGTTAGTGGAGTACCTTGCTGCTCTCTCAGCGGTTGCAAGTGCTCTGCGTATTAGCCGCCAGGTGGTAGTTCTTTGCTCTTCCACGCCCTCTGTAATATCTGATTTGCCTGTGGCTGAATGCTTCTGGATCCTTGCTGGGGAAGGTGTATGACCGACTGGGAGGTGAGGTGCCTGTAAATATTTTTAGAAGAGCATTTTCCATCTTTTGATGGAGTCCACCTCAGTATGTCCTGTTGGTCACTATCGACAAGGTTAACGTGAGTGATGGCTTGAAGAGCCTGGTCATCAAAAATATTTGTGATGAGATCAATATTCCAGGATCTAGAGTGAGGATTCCAGAGTTGGGATACAGGAGTAGGCAGAGGTAGAGTAGTAACCGAAAGATGCATGTGGTCATGTATAGATTCCCACAGTGGGCACCAAGGGGCTGACCAGATGGAAGTATTACCTGCATGAAGTTGGTAAGTAGAGTTGGCGCTTAATTCCTTTTTGACCTGCAAAACAGAAGACCAGAAAACCGATTGAGGACCATTAGTTTTGGCTGTCCAAAAAGAAGCGTCATGGTAGTATTTGGCTTTAATGACCGAAGAGAGGAAAGGATTCTTGTTAGTTGCAATATTCCAGGCAGCCTGTGTAAGAAGACTTTTGTTGACAGTATAAAGGTCCCGGATCCCTAGGCCGCCATTTTCCTTGGATTGACAGATATCATCTGTCGGATACCGTGAGAAGGGGTACCCTAAGCAAGATCCAAAAAACGACTGCTTAGATTTCGTAAAGATCAAAACCAGCTAAACGCTGCTGGCCTCGGCCGATTCTCCGACTCGCCCGAGGCCCCATCACCGCGGGCCTCGGCCGATTCTCCGACTCGCCCGAGGCCTCATCACCGCGGACCTCAGCCGATTCTCCGATTCGCCCGAGGCCCCCTCACCGCGGGCCTCGGTCGATTCCCCATAAAGGCCTCGGCCGAGGCCACCGACCCTCCGTCTCGCGCAAAAGGCGGGCTCGGCGACCTCCGCTACCTCTTCCTTCTCCCGTCCCTCCGGCAAAACGTCGTGTCGCATCAACTCAATAACCTGCTGCCCACGACAACGACCGCATGCCCGCACAAGACAAGACATGAGAATGGCCGATGGGACAAGAGGCGGGGATCAAGGGGGGTACCCCCATCAGACTAACCACCGTGCACATGGGTTGGCGCCCATGCCTCACTATCTTGCCAACTCCTGCACCGAGGACAATGCAGCGTGGGGAGCCACATCCCGGCTCTTGTGGCATCGGAATCGCACCAGGAGCAATAATTCCCTCAAGGCCCTCGGCAGCTTGCTCCGTGGGCTCGACACCGAGGACCCATGTCCGCCAAAGCCCCCGCGATGGCTTGGCCTCGGCACCTCTGAGCCACGCCCCCTACGACGTCATCACGCGATGACCGTGACGTCCCCGGATCGGGCGGGGTTACCCGTCACTATGCTATCCACCGTGCACATGGTTGACACCCATACCTCACATCTTCCGCCAACTCCCGCTCCAAGGACAACGCAGCATGGGGAGCCACGTCTGAGCTCTCGTGGCCTCGGAATCGCACCAGGGCCAATAACTCCCCCAAGGCCTCGACAGTTTGCTTCACGGGCTCGGCGGCTGAGGGTCCATGACCACCGAGCCCCCCCACGATGGCTCGGCCTCGGCATCTGCAGAGCCAGCCGCTCCCCACGACGTCATTACACGCGGACCAGCCGTCGTCGCCCGCCATGTCTCGCATCAAGCGCATCGAGAGCCCCACGACGCACACGATCGAAAGTATGACCAAAGATGTCACTTCCGCACGACAAGGACGGGGCCACTCCATCGACCATACCACAACAGTGGCCGACTACAGGGCTCGGACACGCCACCCCATTTACAGAAGCGCTATGTAGCACCCTGTGCACGGTCCCGGTCCTCCCTTAGAGTATAAAAGGGAGGGACTGGGGCCATTTCTGGGGAGGCCAGAAAGACGAACACGCCGATAGAACCACGCACTCCTACGCTGCTTGGGAACAACGCCTCAAGCAGCCCGCACCACACTCGCCGAGACCTGGGGCTAGTTCCCTCTCTCACCTAGCTTGTAACCCCCTACTACGAGCACTCCGGTGCAAGGAATACAAGATCGATCTCTCGGACTGGACGTAGGGCCTCGATTGCCTGAACCAGTATAAACATTGTGTCTCTTTGCGCCACCATCCGGGATTAGGGGCACGCAGCACAAATTCACTCGTTGGTTGAGAGACCCCCGGTTCCAAAACACCGACATATCATCCCACGAACAGTAGGCAATAGGAGACGTGGGATTGTCATCCTGGACGCCGGTCCACCAAAATCTTCTGATGATAGCAGTGATTCTGTGGATAAAAGACTTGGAGAAAAGCACAGTTGACATGTAGTACACAGGAATGGAGGAAAGAACAGACTGGATGTAGGTTAGTCTAGCTGCGTGATTAAGTTTATTGGCCTTAACAGTTGTAAACTTTGCTTTGAATTTGTTAATGATAAATTCATAAGCTTTGTTTCTATCGTTGTGATTGAAAATGATTGGATGACCTAGGTGCATAGTATTTGGTAGAAGGTCAGGAGCAGAAAAAATATTCTTGATTGTGGCTATAACAGTGCTGTTTACATTCCTGCTAAACATAATGGATGACTTTTGGAGGTTGGGTACCTGCACTGACCGTTTGCAGAATTGGTCAAGTATCGTCCGGATGTGGGTGGCTTCCTGCTCCGTTGCCTGTCCACAAAGCCTGAGGTCATCTGCAAAAAGAAGAGAATGGATAGGAGGGCATCCGGAACCAAGAGTGATCGTTAGGTTAGAATTGTGCATTTCGTGTTGTAAACGAATGGATAGCTCATTGATAGCAACCACAAAGAGATAAGGCGAAAGGGGACAGCCTTGCCGAATGCCACCGTTAACAAGAATGGAGAAGGTAGGAGTGGGGATGCATCGTTGCTATCAAAATAAAGAACCATACGCACCACTGCCAAAAACATGCTAAAAGAAAGAAGCAACACATTATACGGTTTTGAACCAAAGAAATATAAATATTTTCCACTCATACGATGGTGGTCAAGATATTACTCCATGCATATAGAAAATTACTACTCGTTATCTGTCTATTCCTTTTTCTCTGATTTCCGCCGCAAATCCATCTGCTCTCTCCAATTCTAGAATACAGTGACATACATAACATGACCCGTCGCTGCGTACACCGGTGGTGCGGTGCGTGTTCTTCTGCACAACGGCACCGGCGAGTGCGCTGGAGTCACCCTCAGAGCTTCACAGGAATCCGTCTCTGCGGTCTTGCTCCTCGGCCTCTCTGTTCGCCGTCTGCACGGCCTTGAACCACAGAAACGCCTGAAAATGTACACGGACACTCTTCAGTCAGCGACAAAGCAGGCGCTGCAATGGGGAGGCAGGCAAGCCCGGCGCATATCTTGGGATACGTACGGAGGTCGGGATGCCGGTGAAGACGAAGAAGCCCAGGATCGGCGCGTACAGGGCGCTGTCGGAGCCGACGATCCCGAACACCGGCCGCTGGTTGGTGTACTCGAAGATGGAGCCGATCTGTGGAGCGAGTTTCGTTTTCGTCAGTAAAGATTCTACCGGCAGCGAAAAGGAAAATGGGTTTCCAGCAGGCGCACGCACCGCGGCGATGGCGGTGATCGCGGACGCGAGCAGGTACGCGTAGAACGGGACCTGCCCGGCCTCCTCCGGTCCCCGCGCGGCCCCGCCATCGCGCGCCCAGGGCGGAGGCTCGTCCGCGCCGGGCTTGGCCCACGCGGGGACCTGCTCCTCCGCCTCGCCCGGCGGCTTTTGCTTGCCCGACGACGCGGCCACGGCCGTCCGCAGCCTCCGGCGCGGCGACGGCGGCCTGCCGAGTAGTGGCGAACGGGCGAGACGGGCCTGAGGCCTCACGTTCGGACCGCCCCTACTATGCCCTGATGAGGAGGTGCACACGGAGGTGGAGACGGTCACCGCTGTGGCCGCCATGGAGACTAGCACGGCGACGAGCTCCTTCCGCTCGGAGCTGCCGAGACGAGAGGTGGTCAGACCGCTGGCGGTCTGGCGGTCCTGGCGGATGGGAAAGTGGATAGGAGGCGGTCGGTGACTCGGCGCGCGTTCGTGAGTGGCTAGGACGCGGACGACGTGGCGTGTGGCGGCTGCCAGGCTGGCATTGAGGACGTCTACGAAGGCCGAATGGGATCGAGAATGTTATCTGCGGCCCGTCCAGCCCACCAGAAAAGCTCTGATGACAGGCTTTGGTGGCCCATATCCAGAGCAGCCATCAGCCACGGAGTTCCTGAACAAAAACGCCGGCGCCTCAAAAAAAAAAAAAAAAAAACGCCGGCGCCGGTGCTCTGGGAGACGATGGGTCTACGGCGAACGGAACGGAGTTGGTCTTGAAAGCTGTTATCGGAGATACGTTACACGCTTCACGAGCGAAACCAGAACACAGAATTGGTGATGTTAACTTCAAGAAATCGGTAGCGACTAGCCACTGCATCTGGTGCTGTGACAATAATTCAGCACTTAAGCAGCACACCTAGGACAGCAGATCGAGTTGACATCCTCCTCCCCAACTGAATCGCTCGTGGCCACCGAAGGATCACCGATCACCGGGTCGCTACTTGTCCCTGAGCAGCACCTTGACGTAGTGCTTGTACTCGACGCGGCCCTCGCCGCTGGGGTCGGCCTCGCGGAGCATCGCGTCGGCCTCCTCCTCCGTGAGCCGGTCGCCGTGGCTCACCATCACCTGCCGCAGCTGCTCCGCGGGGATGGACCCACTGCGGGCGTCATCGAACACGTCGAAGCACTCCGCGAGGCGCTCCTCCGACTGCCTGGCGCCCATCTTGCTCGCCGCCACGGCAAGGAACGCCGCGAGGTCGATGGTGCCGGCGCCGGCGCCCGCGTCCTCCAGGAAGCGCTGCGCCTCCGCCTCGTCCACGTTCTGGCCCAGGGACCGCAGCGCCGTCACGAGCTCGCCCGTGGCGATGCGACCTGCATGCCCACCGGGAGCAACAAAGAAGCACGCACATATCAGTTGAGGCTCGGAGCTAGGCGCGCACGCGGTGGATCGGAGTACGAGGGGGATGGTGACTTGCCGTCCTCGTCGGCGTCGAACAGGTCGAAGATTTCCTTGCACTCGTCGACCTGCTCCGGCGTCAGCTTCTCCGCCATGTTGCTCACCCGAGCTACTCTCTCGTCTCTCTACCTGCAACCTCAGCCGCTTCCTCTTGCTATGGTCTATGGATGCTACGATTCTCTCGAGGAAATGTCAGAAACGATAGGCGGTATAAATGACTAATGACACCAGTTCACACGAGATTTTTAACGTGGAAAATCCTCTTAAAGAAGAAAGGAAAAACAAATCTTCACTATATCAGTCGAGGATTTATATTTTCTCATCCTGAGGAGACGACTTACAGGAAGTATATTTAGAGATGAAAAAGTCATAATAAACGATGATTCATCAAAAATTAGCTTTTATCTCGTACATAACTTGCATCATAGCTCAACAGGAAAGGCAAAGCTTTCTTTGATTCTGACTCGATTTCGACAAGTCACAGGTCAAAAGAGTGAACAGAAAATTCCGATCTGGCAGGCCACTTTTTCCTTTGGTCATCAGAACTAACGAAACAATGACCTATCATCGGTGCACCGCACTTAATCAATTTAGTGGCGACGTCTCATCCACCTCTGGAGGCTGGAGCGATCCAATCTGGGTGCAAAGACAGGCCATGCCGCCATGATCCTCACCAAACCATCGCAACTAGCAATAATCAAATCAGATCCAGCAACTGGCATTGTATAATACGTACGTATTAATTAAAAGGAACGCACCAGAACTACAGAAGCCGGAAGAGTACCACAGGTGATGGTATCAGGAGACAGGACATGATATGCTGAATCAAAGGTCCACCCCCCCGCCCCCGGTCATCTGCGAAGGCCAACTTGGCTCAACAGCCTGGCAGGCCAGCACCATACCTAATTGGCTTTTCCGCAAGGATGAGCACCTCAAAGATCACAGCGATGCAGAGGATCTGCTGCAATGGGCCTGTTCTCCGTTGCTCCGATCCCGATCAGATGGGGCTCACCAGCAACAAATTCCCATCTTGCGTCGTAGTCGATTCCAATTTGAACGAAGGCTCCGAGTTCGAGAGCGTGGCCATCAGTGTCGGAGTTGGAGTCGGAGTCGGAGTCGGAGACGGCGGCTGGTGGCGTCGAGGTCCGCTTTTGACTTTTGAGGCGGGGAGGAAGGGATAATGGTGAGAGGAAACGGTAATCGGGTTCCGGAATCCGGATCGAACGACTTCTCTTTAACGTGCTCGGAAAGAGCTCGCAATCGATTATCGACCAGACCAGCCATATAGATAGACAGCGCCCCTCCTTGGGCATGATAGATCTTTAGGATCGACTACCAGCATATCTAGCGTGTATGAATTTAAATTTACAATATGGTAAACCCTAAAATATGAACTAGTGCTAGGAAACAGAGAGAGAGAGAGTGATGTGGTGTTAGCAAACCATCGGTCGCTTTGGAGGTAGACGAGCTGGCCATGGCGTCGGTGTCGGTGACGCGGTGAAGGCGTAGAGTAGCAGTGGAGTCCGGCGACGGTGTGGACGTCGCAGTGGAGGCGCAGTCGCAGAGGCGGCGGTGAAGACGCGACGATGGCGGCTTCCTGTCGCTGGCAGCACCCTCTCTCTAGATTGGCTTAGGGTTAGGATGTAGGTGTGGTTTGTGGTGGCTCAGGTGAACCTCGTCGTTGTGCCCCGGCCCCCACCTCCTTTTTATGACGCTATGCGACGGGGCCCACCAACCATAGATAGGGTTGGGTGCCCCCGATTAGGGCGCGAATCAAGGACCCAATTGACCATTGGGCTAAGTTGGTAGAGATCAACATAACATTCTCTCCCTTAATCTCACCTTATCATTTAAATTTAACTTACTTTATCTTTTTCTCATTCCATCATAGATCAGTGCATAGAGCGTGCCTCATCGTCACGATCAGTTACTATTAGATTAACAACGACAATGCACCTCTCTGTTTTGAAACAGATTCTCATTTAGGCCCTTATTGTCCAGGAATAATTTCTTTTCCCTTAAACCCATGCCGGCTAAGTGTTCTCTGAACACGTTGGGTGATAAGCCTTTTGTAAGCGGATCCGCGAGCATCTTTTCTATAATTATATGCTCAAAACTAATTATATGATCCCGGACTTTGTCTTTCATAACATAATACTTTATATCAATGTGTTTGACAGCACCACTTGAGTTATTATTGTGAGCATAACATACTACTGGATTATTATCGCAGTATAACTTGAGTGGCTTATGTATGTCGTCTACCACTTTCAACCCGGGTATGAACTTCTTCAGCCAATTTACCTGCCCTATAGCCTCATAACACGCTACAAACTCGGCATACATCGTAGATGATGTAGTGACGGTTTGCTTTGAGCTTTTCCACGATATAGCTCCTCTTGCGAGAGTTAATATATATCCTGACGTTGATTTTCTATCATCTCTCGCATAATCTGAATCTATATACCCCTCTATGTGTAGGGAATCAGATCTTCTATATGTTAGCATGAGACCTTTTGTGCCTTGCAAGTAACGCAAAACTTTCTTTACTAGTCTTCAGTGTTCTATTCCTGGATTACTCTGATATCTGCCAAGTAACCCGGTAACAAAATGCTAAGTCAGGGCGTGTACACACTTGAGCATAATATAAACTTTCGACAGCTGAAGCATATGGAACCGCTTTCATTTGATCGATCTCATATTGGTTTCTGGGACATTGAAATTCTCCAAATCTATCGTCCTTGACTATGGGAGCAGGTAAAGGCTTATAATTTTACATACTGTATTTCTTTAGAACCTTTTCTAAGTATACCTTTTATGATAGTCCTAAAACCCCATTTTCTCTATCTCGGTGAATCTCTATTTCTAGAACGAACGAAGTTTCACCGAGATCCTTCATATCAAACTTTGAGGACAAGAACTTCTTCGTTTCTATTAGTAGATTAATATCACTACTAGCAAGTAAGATGTCATCCACATACAAGATTAGAAAGATGTATTTTCCATTCTTGAACTTTGCATAAACGCAATTGTCCTCTACATTTTCTTTAAACCCAAACTTTTTTATTATACTATCAAATTTTAAATACCACTGTTTTGATGCTTGTTTTAATCCGTAAATGGATTTCTTCAGGTGGCATCACATATGTTCTTTTCCTTGCACAACAAAACATTTTGGTTGTGCCATGTAAATATTTTTCTCCAAATCCCTGTTTAGGAACGTCGTCTTTACATCCATCTGATGTAATTCTAAATCATAATGTGCTACAAGCGCCATTATAATTCTAAAAAAAATCTTACATGAGACTGGTGAAAATGTCTCATTGTAATCTATGCCTTCTCTTTGCGTGAAGTCTTTCGTCATAAGTCGCGCTTTAAATCTTTCTACGTTCCCTTTGGAGTCATGTTTAGTTTTATAGACCCATTTACAACCTACTGTCTTGGCTCATTTAGGAATTGTTTCTAAGTCCCAAACACCGTTGGTATTCATTGATTTTATTTTATCTTAGATGGTTTCAGGCCACTTTGATGAGTGGGCGCTTCTCATGACTTCTTCAAATGAGGTGGGATCACCCTCTATTTAAAATTCTTCACATTCATAGACTTCGTAGTCATCAGGAATGATTGATCTCCTAACTCTTTGAGACCTTTTAGGGGCCTCGTTAGTTGACGCTTGTTCTATATGAGGCTGTTGTTGCTCTTTCTCATGTGTGACAACGGGTTCTACGGGATCCTAAACGACAGGTTCCTCATGTTTATTCATTGTTGCCACAGGAGAACTAACAACAGGTGCTGTTACTACAATGTCATGCACTGTTGGTACAGCAACAACGGGTAACGTGAAAAATAGTTCCTGAACCATCGGAGTGGGCCGTATACTCGCTTCTCTTCAAAATTAATTTCTCACGCTACCATGCTCCCCTTAACCATATCATCCTCTAAGAACACAGTGCGTCTTGTTTTTATAAACTTCGTATGTCTGTCAGGACAATAGAAGCGATAACCTTTTGACTTTTCTGGATAGCCAATGAAATAGCAACTGACTGTCTTGGAGTGTAGCTTCCCTATGTTTGGATTAAAGAATTTAGCCTCAACTGGACAACCCCAGACACATAAATAATTAAGTGAGGGTTCATTTCCTGTCCACAACTCATATGGTGTTTTGGGCACCGACTTGCTTGGCACTCGATTAAGAATATGAATGGTGGTTTTTAACGTCTCCATCCATAAACTTATCGGTAGAGTAGAGTAACTTATCATACTTCTTACCATATCCATTAAGGTACGGTTGCGTCTTTTAGCTACTCCATTCTACTGAGGCTCGCCCGGTGTAGAGTACTGAGCAACTATGTCATTTTCCTATAAGAACCTTGCAAAAGGTCTAGGAACTTGGCCATATGGGATGTGTCGACCGTAGTACTCTCCCCCATGCTCAGATCTTACTACTTTAATCTTTAAGTTGTGCTAATTTTTAACTTCAGCCTTAAAAATCTTGAATTTATCAAATGCTTCTGATCTTTCTTTATTTAATTGGATAAATATAGCCAAAACGAGAATAATCATCCATAAATGTTATAAATGAATCATAACCATCCACACTCTTCACAGAAAAAGGACCACAGATGTCTGTGTAAGCTATTTCTAAAATTACTGCGCTTCGTTTGACATCTTTATTTAGTTTCTTAACACACTTTCCTTTTATGCAATCAATACATTGTTCTAAATCTAAAAATTCTAAAGGCGGAAGAATTGATTTCTTAATCAATCGCTCTATTCTCCCTCTCGAAATATGGCCTAAACGACAGTGCCATAATTTTGATAATACATCATGAACTCTCTTTCGCTTATTTGTTGCATTCATAGACAAGGAAGCATTCTTATTCTTAGTGCTCACAACATTCATATTCTCAGAAAGTGATAACAAATAAAGTTTGTCTTGTCGGAAGGTAAGACCAGCACACTTATTATTAAACATGATCTGACATTTTGCCATTACCAAAATAGCAATCATATCCATCATCGTCTAGTCGTGAAACACTTATCAAGTTTATACGCAAAGAGGGTACATAAAGAATATCTAAAAGCTAAAGTATAA